ACGTTGTAATAAATATGGCGACAAAGATGAGGACAATAGTCCGAATAATGTAAATAATGTACATAATACTTCATCTCAGAAATATAGACAGATACTGAAAGGCCGATACGTTGTAATAAATATGGTGACAAAGATGAGGACAATAGTCCGAATAATGTAAATAGTGTATATAATACCTCATCTCAGAAATATAGACTGATACTGAAAGGCCGAAACAGTAATAAATATGGCGACAAAGATGAGGACAATAGTCCGAACAGTAAATAATGTACATAATACATCATCTCAGAAATATAAAGATACTGAAAGGCCGAAACGTTGTAATAAAATGGCGACAAAGATGAGGACAATAGGAATAATGACAAAGACAGATGAAAGGCCGAAACGTTGTAATAAATATGGTGACAAAGATGAGGACAATAGTCCGAATAATGTAAATAGTGTATATAATACCTCATCTCAGAAATATAGACTGATACTGAAAGGCCGAAACATTGTAATAAATATGGCGACAAAGATGAGGACAATAGTCCGAATAATGTAAATAATGTACATAATACATCATCTCAGAAATATAGACAGATACTGAAAGGCCGAAACGTTGTAATAAATATGGCGACAAAGATGAGGACAATAGTCCGAATAATGTAAATAATGTACATAATACTTCATCTCAGAAATATAGACAGATACTGAAAGGCCGAAACGTTGTAATAAATATGGCGACAAAGATGAGGACAATAGTCCGAATAATGTAATTAATGTACATAATACCTCATCTCAGAAATATCGACAGAATATAAATCTTTATTTGAAATAATTTACATGCAGGCACTTCAAACTTTGTACTTTGAGCTAACATTAACAAGAACTGAAAAACATATTATTTAGGTAAGAAAATCAGGTACTGAAAATTGTAATTAAAAATAGGAAAATTTGCACTGGGTACTATATACACATGGTTAGTGTTCTAGGGTTAAATTAAACTTTAAATGATATATTTTTTTCATTTTTAATTGCGTATAACTACAGTGGTTACGGCATGATACTTCAGGTTGGTATTGATTCGCCGTGATCGAAAAACGGACAGACGGACGGACAGACTTACACTGCGCTTTATTTATAACCCATGGTTAGTGTTCTAGGGTTAATAGCGACCAATAAAAGATAATAAAATATGTAAATATGTAAATTCCCGTATAGATAATAACACGAAAGATGTTAATTTATAATTATAGTTGATGTATACATCGACAAGACAATCATACATCCAACTGCATATATATATATATATATATATATATATATAAACAACACAAAAGCGCGTGATAAGTAATGTAATCACACATATTAACGTGTATTTGGGCAGAAACATGTCTTTTAAAGATGTTTCGATAAATGTGACAGGCAAGGGGGATTTAGTTAATTTTCCCATTGGTTTTCCTCGCGTTCTTTCATGTATTCAAAACGCAACGGATTCCACCCCAAGAGGCACGTATTTCTTTTCCCTCGAACCGCTCTATCGCAGAGCATTAGCTGGGTCAAGCAAGGATTATACAGGATAATGGAGATAAACAAGGACCATACAGCATATAAGTATATATAATTAATAGAATTTTCCGAATTCATCCAAGAATTCATACCTCAAGGGGTTGTGACCCAAGAGCCTCGGTTTTTTTTCTTTCCCCCGAACTGCTCCATCGCAGAGCATTAGCTGGGTCAAGCCAGGATATACAAATCACAGAATTTGGGGAATTTACACAAATCATTCATTGAGTCTAGAAGAATCCTCAACAAAGAATGCAGAAATCACTGGACGGCCGTTTCGTCCTATTTTTGGGACTCATCAGCAGTGCGTATCCACTACCGAGATTCGAACTTGGACCGTTTCGATCCAATCCAAGCGTCATACCAACTGTCCCAACGGGCCTCGTTGACGAAGGAGAAACTGAATAGACTTTATATAGCGCCGCTACTCACAAATTCCGTATTCATAACGTATTCCGTATTCATCCAAGAAGTCATAACTGAACGGGTTTGTGTCCCAAGAGACTCGATTTTCCTTTCCCTCGAACCGCTCCATCGCAGAGTGTTAGCTGGGTCAAGCAAGGATATACAAGTAATAGAATTTTGAGAATTTAGACAAATCATTAGAGTAATTCATCGAATCTAGAAGAATCCTCAACAGAATGCAGAAACATCGGCCGTTTCGTCCTATTTTTGCGATTCAAACATAGCGCATCCACTTCCTGGATTCGAACCCAGACCGTTTCGATACAACGCAAGCGTCATACCAACTGTACCAATGGGACTCAATAAGTTACTATAATGATTTCTACCTCCATGGACTGGATAAAGGGTTCGTTGCTTGTTTTGTTTTATGGCATATCAAAAACCGCAATGGGTGATTTAATTCACAGCGATAGTTTGGTAAAAAAAAAAAAAAAAAGATGTGTATGCATACATATATATTTGAACTATCTTTCATATTTTTGAATACAATCCAACTTTTTTTAAGAAATTTACCATCTTGGATGGTTTTATTTTCGTAAAAAGTTTTAAATTTTCTCACCTGATAGATAATAATTTTTATGAATAAAAATGACAATAGGAAAACTAGTAATTACTGATGCGTTTCGTCCAATGTGGACTTTATCAAAGCAAAATACGAAAATTATCAAAGCAAAATCGAAAATTTTGCTTTGATACTTTTCGTATTTTGCTTTGATAAAGTCCACGTTGGACGAAACGCGTCAGTAATTACTAGTTTTCCTATTGTCATTTTTATTCATAAATATTGTCTTCTCTACTGGTTAAATCAGAGAAATTTTCATAATAATTTTTCCTTTAAAAATTATTGTTGGTAATATTTTTTTTTTATTACTAAGTATTTCTGGTATTAAAACCTATTTTACACAAGTTTGAGTGTTAACTATTTGCCCATAGCTGGGACTCTAACAGGTGCTACCACCCCGGGTCAGGGTGAATCTGGGAACACCAACAGTTAAGAGGTGGTTCCACGCTCCTCAAAACCTCCTGATCAGAGGCCTTGCTGCTGGACGTAGTTTATCGTCATACCCAGGACCCGGATGTAGTTTAACGTCATACCCAGGACGGAATAATGGGTTCGAATAGAAATTCTAACGTATATCACCTGAAGAAGGCTGGGGCATACAAAGGTCGAAACGTCGTGAATATGCCAATAAAGATGAAGACAACAGTCCGAACAATGTAAATAAGTGTAAATAAGTACAATACCTCATTGTATTGCAAACCACTTGTAATTTCCACTAACAGGTCATAGTGCATATTCTGGAAAATTATCCAGAATCCACCAGCCTTTCGATCCTTAAAATGCATGAGGATAGTTATGTATGCAAACTACTAAATTCCTGTTCTGGGGTGAGGGGGAGTGAACCGACTGACATGTTATTAATTCAAGTTGAATGTTTATCGGAATCACTTCCGTTGTCGTTTTTTTTTTTTGTATGTTTATTTTTATTCTTATTTTTGTTTTTTCGTCCGTTTTCTTTTAAATAATCCGTTGAAGAATTTTGTGTTAAGCCACAAAGAGGACCTGGATGAAATTTAATTGCTTACGTGATTAAAATCTTGGACGAATCAATTTCGCTGTTGTTTCTAACTTCAGGGAAAAAATAAAACTTTTTTCGTTTATATTATCATTATTTTTTATTTTTGTAAAGTCTTTCTTTTTATTTTATATTTTATTTTAAATTATTTTATTTTATTTAATATCTTTTTTTTTTTTTTTTTAACTGACCAGTCACTAAAGTAGATGCCTGCAGCGATCCGTTCTGGTGAATGTTGGTAAAATATCTGAAAGCCATTTTGATATTTTTTGTTAGACATCTCAAACAATTTATAAGTGATTCTTATTTAAAAAAAAAAAATTAGTTGTCTTTTTCTTTTTGTGATAACGTTTTTCATATTTTTCGAAAAAAAAAGGCTCCATTTTTTTTTTATTTATTTATTCATTTATTTTCGATTTTTAATAAAAAAAATTATATCTTGTTAAAAAACACTTTGCCAATCACTTTAAATACTTCACAGAAATTTTTTTCATATTTATTTATTTAATTTTTTTGTCGAGATTGAGTGGGTGACGAGGATTTTTATTTTTATATTTTTTTTTTTCATATTCCTTTTTTCTACCTTCCGTGGAATCTTGAGCACATATTGGTTCCGACGACGAGATTTCGATTGGCGCAGCATTAAAGTTTGTTAGTAAATTCGATACCCACCAGCAAAACATTTTTTTTTCTCTTTACGTCAAATTTAGCTATTAATTTAGTCTCGAGTTTACAAAAGAAAAAGGCTGGTTTCTTTTGGACTAAATTGATTTTAAATTAACAAAACATCCAACAATACTACAGAATTTAGTCGTACCAGTAAATACCCCCGACTAAAGTTTTCAAATGATCATTAGAAAATTTTTTTTTTTTTTTTAATCGTCTGAAACAGAGGTTGGCACCCTACGGCACGCGTGCCCCAAAGTGGCACGCCAAGCAATTCTCAATGGCACGCAGCCGCAAATGACATCACGATGTCCGAACCAATAACTACAACACTGCAAAGAATATATTTAGCTTTTTCAATTTTAATACAGTGTAACCCGGATATAAGAGAGTTGTCGGGACCGGAGAAGAAGTCTCTTATATCCGGGTTTCTCTTATATCCAGGTTTGGTCTATTTTGTTTAGGTAAGCATGGGCTCTAATTTGGGACCAGAGAAAATCTCTCTTATATCCGGGTTAAACTGTATATACTAAAGTATATCCGGGTTACACTGTATATACTAAAGTATATATACTATATATTATTATAAAATATATTGTATATATTATTATATAAATATATTGTAGAACAGGTTTATTGACTTTGACTTGTATAAAAAATACGTATGCTGTTGGGACACTGAATGATTTTAAAACCCTAAGTCAGCATATAGTCCACAAAACGTGGGCACCTCGAGGCGGTGTAATGGTTAGCAAGCTTGTCAGGCTAGAACAATTACGACTGAGTAGTGAGATCGATCCTCACTGTGTACCCCCATGCTTTCGGCCTTGTGCCATATCCAAGCTATGCTTGGAAAATCACTACAGTCAGCAAAACATTGCCGGCCCTTGGTCTGAGAGAGCTCTTTCTGTCTTCTCTCGGCATGGCTGATGCTCACCTCCAGAACAGTGACTCATATTTGACTTCTCGGGCTAGCGTTCTTTGCTGGCACGCAGTGGAAAGATTACGGGCATCACTCGATTTATGCGAATTCGATTAATGCGATTATATACCAAAATTTGATTAGTGCGGTAAAAAATTCTTCAGTTTAACCATAGTGACTGAAAATTGATTTTGTATGGGCAGCGATGTACAAATTAGCCGCAGTAATCGAGGGATTCCTGTATATTGAAACAATTTCTAGATCTACAGTGAGGAATGTCCGCTCAATGTGTGGAACTAGATAATTTTTCTCAACAGAATCTGCCTTACACATTTTTAAGTCTACCGATTATCCTTGCATCGAATGTTTATCCCGCATAAGGTCTGGTTCTCTTGCGACATATCTAGAGATTCCTTAAATCCAAAGAAGAATCTGCAGTGTTATTGATCCTTACCTGGCATCCTGGCTTCACTCATCTTCCCACGACTACGTTGTGCATTTTATATAAATAATTTAATGGCAATTATTCAGATAAACCTTTCTCTATTCTTTATGAATTTAAACCCGGAACTAGAATGGCAACAAGGCCTCATCGATTTACAGTTGAATTTGCTAGATGTAACCGGAAGTTATACGCGCGCAGCTACTTTTCTTGCACTTGTCGTCTGTAGAGCTCACTTCCGGTTTTATGCTTACCAGCCAACTTTGATCTTGGAAAATTTCAATACAATATCAATCGTTATCTACTGTTTTCTTGATTCTTCTTTTAGAGTCCCCGTTCCTTAATAGTGTTTTATAATTATTTTTTTGTTTATTTTCTTTGATTTCTGGCGTTTACACATTTCTTTCCGGGTCCCGCCCAGGGACCTAAAGTTAGAAATGGCGTCATGACACTTTCCACTGACAAAAAAAAAAAAATTATTATTATTATTATTATTATTATTTTACACTCAGTAACCTCTGCTGTTTAGTGACTTTATTGCCTTGCTTGGGGCGAAATGATTAAAAAATATGGGTAACTGACAAATATGGCTGGGCAATTGAGGCAATATGAGACTGCATCGAAATTATTTGTCTTTTTAGCTTACAATGGCTCCAAAGTTTATTTGAATTATAAATAAAAAAGAATTTATAATTTCACTATTATTATGCTGGTGTCTCAATAGTATTTTCGTTTTTTAAAAGACATTTACTTCTAAGCTTATTTCATGTACAAATTGACAGTCTATCCGTGAGAGAGAAATCGCAAGCCGACCTTCCAATTAGTGGCACTCACTACTAGATTGACCTATGTGTATAACTGCACCATATTTCATATTGTACTTGTGTACAATAAACCTTTCTTCTAGTATCCACTTGGTATTAAGTATTTATTCCAATAGCACGGAATATAACAAACATCATATTAATATATATATATATATATATATATATATATATATATTTGGAAAAATAAAAATCAAGTTTATATCATTTTATTCGATTTTACGCCTGTCCGCCACAAATATTGAAGTCGTAATATCACCAGAAAAGAGTTAAAAGCACATGTTACTGTACAATAAATAAGAATAAAAGAATATAAAATTGATGTAATGGAATAACCTGGCACCCCCATGAATGATTACACTATAGGTAATAAGTACCTATAAAGTCAACTGTCTACGAGAGACTTGGGGAAGAGTGAGAGCGAGAAGACGCATGTCCGACCTTCCAATTAATGGCACTAACTACTAGATTGACATATGTGTATAACTGTACTGTATTTCATATTGCACTTGTTGTGTACAATAAACCTTTCTTCTAGTATCCACTTGGTGTTAAGTATTTATTCCCTTAGCACGGAATATAACAGAAATACGCCGCTTGTTATACCGTTTGTTCACTGTGCCGTTAACTACATTTTCTGTTTAATTATTTTCTTGATTGGTGAAAATTCGTTTATTGGTTTAACCTTATATTTCTGCTTGATCTTGTTGCTCTTCCATATTGAAAAATCTAAATTTCTTAAAAACCCATCGAGCATCTATAACTCACACATGAGTTCCTCAATTTTTCCGTTTCATTTTGAGTTTCAAATGGGATCATTTTGTCTGTTGTTTAATCGTTTATTTATCTTGATATTTTTTCAATAGCTGCTAAAGCTGTTGCATATGTGACATTATTTAATTCTGTTATATTTTCTTGTGGTCTGTCCGTTAACAATGTTTGCAATGCAGAGTTATATGATTGCCTAATATGTTTATTGAACTTTGACATATGAACATTTGGTAGCTGTGTGCAAGCTACTTTGCCGACTATTATTATGATGTAGTTCTTCGCTTTAGTGATTTCAACTCTGTTGTTATCAAGGAATAACGTCGTTGGATTCATCTTCATCAGTGACAGAATCAGAATTAGTGTACCGGTTTATGTCGCATCCAGATTCTTCCATTTTATTTCCTGGGAGATCATTATTTCGTATCTCATTTATTTTAGTGTGTATATCTCATTTTCTGTCATATCTTTTTTCACTCTTACCTCATTTTTGTTTGGATTATGTCTGATTCTACTTTGTCTTATATTTGGTTTTATCTTATCAATTTCTGTATTTAAGAGTCTTTTATTTCTCATGATGTCCCTGCAGACATTGGCAAGCAGATTTAGGTCGAGATAGTCTTACTTTAATTCCTCCCATATCTCTCCATATTTGGTATGTCTGATCAGCGATGTTCTTTTGTTGATTTTCTTGTGCGGCTGAAAAAAAATGCCATGACTTGTTTATACTCTTCACGATTCCATTTCATTCACTTTCCTTTTATTAATTGATTTGCCATTAAGTCACTAGGTGATTGTTTGAGTTAATCCGGTTTTTTGGTGACCAGAGGTCTCATTGTTGGTCGAAGAGTTTACTCCACTGACAGATTTTTCAACCCCAGACTGGTTCCTTGCTGAGGGACACGGTACTGGTTGACCCGGGGAACGTCCCATCCGGTATGTGCCTTTGTTCGTAAATATTGAGATGTATATTATTTTTGCATTTTATTCATAACCGCCAAGGCGTACTTTTTTTTCAAGATACCCCCGCAAGGACGACTGTCAAGCAAAACTAAAGATCTCGTCCTGACCATGAGACACGGCTATTCCCCTGATATTACTAGGCCATGGGTATTTTTATTTATTTATTTATTATTATTATTATTTTTATTATTATTATTATTACTACTATTATTATTAACATTTTTATTTTCTTTGATTTCTGGCGTTTACACATTTCTTTCCGGTTCCCGCCCAGAGACCCCTTTTAGGCATGTCTGATTGAATAAATTACAGACATTATGTCTGCTAATTTTTAACAAAATCCGTTCATACTCACGAATAACTTTCCGTGTATTGACGTTAAAGGATGAGAGAAATGTACTATAGCTGTTTAAATTTCTTTTATTTTCATTTCCCAAGTACTTTCGATCTTCTCCCAAGATCATCTTCAGGGGTGCAAGTAGTACAAAACTGTATGTTGTTCATTAGTACAAATATTTATACAAATGTGTGCGTTGTTATCTATTGCCATATTTTTTTCATTATGCTTTTAAATGCAAAACGGTTGACAATCTGTCTATATTTCTGAGATGAGGTACTGTATTTACATTAGTCGGACTATTGTCCTCATCTTTGTCGCCATATTTGTCACGAAACGTTTCGGCCGTTGTACGCTCCGGCCTTCTTCAGGTGGTTGGAATTTCGAACTGAACCCTTTATTTCGATCACTGGGGTAGACTGTTCTAGTTCCACGTGCTAATGTTTGATGGATGTCAAGGACACATGGCACAGTGGATAAAGGCGTTGGTTAGATCCAGTGACAGACCCAAAGAAGGTGAGTTCAATTCCTGGTTAAGGCAGTGGAGAACTTTCAGAGTGAAAATTAGCAGGAGATAACTGATAACTGACATCCATCAAACATGGCACGTGGAACTAGAACAGTCTACCCCAGTGAGCGAAATAAAGGGTTCATTTCGAAATTCCAACCACCTGAAGAAGGCCGGAGCGTACAACGGCCGAACCGTTGTGACAAATATGGCGACAAAGATGAGGACAATAGTCCGACTAATGTAAATACTGTACGGTTGACAATGTTGTGATTATGGAATTTTTTCTTCTATTTTATATATATATATATATATATATATATATATATATATATATATATATATCCAGTATCAAATATGTGGTGCAGTTCAATTTATATTACAATGAATCATTCATACAACAAGTAATTTAAATTTTCAAAAAATTCAACCTTAGCGTTGCGACTGCACGGTCCAAAGGTTTGTATCTGTTATCAATAACACATTTAAAAAAAAAAAAAAAACTTATTTCGATTTGCATTATATTCTTTCGTCTTGGATGCTAGCTGAATTTTACCAAAAATAAAATAATTTCAATGCCAGAAGATGACTGAATGTACAGTCGAAAGTACTTGCGTATTAAAGAAAGAGCTTATACAGCATATAATATTTAAAAACAAGGCTCATGACATTCATCGAGTGGTTTGTAGGTACCTATAAAATTTTGTTAGCGAAGGGATGTCGCCATTTTATGAGTTTATTACGGGACCGATTTCCTAAGTGTTCAATATGTGCACCGCCTGTGACACAGCACACGTCAAATTGGTAGTTAAGCTCTTGCGAAACACGCTGATGTAAACGATTGTCTACCAGATCCTTTAACTACTCTTTCTCAGTTTGTTCGTATCTATCTATCTATCTATCTATCTATCTATCTATCTATCTATCTATCTAAATAAATAAAATGAAATGAAATAATTTAATCGCGAGTTACTTATCATCCGCTGAAGAAGTACAATGAAATTATTGAAACATGAAAGTTTTAGTGTATCGATTTAAATTTTTTTTTTATAATCTCCTATAATAAAAATATAATAAAATCTATCTATCTATCTATCTATCTATCTATCTATCTATCTATCTATCTATCAGAATCTGTTCAGTATCTATCTATCTATCTATCTATCTATCTATCGAAATGGAGTGAAATTAAATAATTTAAATAATTTAATCGCCAATTACTTACCATCCGGTGAAGAAGTACAATCAAATCATTGAAACATTTTAAATGTTTTTATTATAATCTCCTATAATAAAAAATATTATAAAATCTATCTATCTATCTATCTATCTATCTTAGTGATCAACTAAACAAGAAGTAAACACTATGAAAGCATAAAAATACCAATTTATGGCAGAAGTACAAACAATACATTTTTAAAGCAAAATGAATAGCAATATATTCTATAGTAGACCAAAAATACATTTTATCTGTAGTTGATGGCATACAGACGTATTCAAAATATGTAGATATGGTCTTAAAAAATCAACCAACCTTAATGCCGTAATCATATATTAAATACAGACCCCCCAATAAATTTGAAATCATTTTAAAAGCAATTATCTTGAAAACTACTAAGTTTAGCTCAATGAAATTAAACAGTTTGGTTGTTGAACATCATAAGTTTATCAGGGAACCGATTTCAATATATGCACCGCCTGTGACACGGCACAGGTCAGGTCAGTTGTTAAGCTGTTGCCAAACAAACTGATGATGATTGTTTACCAATTCGCTTAACACTGCCTAATCAGCGTTCCTTTTTAAATATTTGATCCCAAGTACAAATTTGTTTGCCAGTTGCTGAATTTTTGTCCAAATGTTTGCATTGAAGGCATGCTGCACAGTCTTGGGTGACTGTGCGAACATATTCCAAGACACAAAATGACTTCTCTTTGGGAGGGAACGGTATGGCTCAACCTGAAAACAGAACAAAAATAAAATATTAAATATAAAATCTTGATCTTTTTCTATACATTCTATGAAAATTTGACGTTATTTCAACAAGAACTGCTACAATTATTGGCCCGCGAAATGATGTCAAATTTTGGGGTCACTCTATATTCCGTAATGATTCCATCTATAACAACATTATCAATGTAAACTTAACTTTACTTGTACTATTACTAATCATTAATCAACACGAGTTTATTAATTGATTCTTGAAGCTATACGCCTATAAATTATTAAACAGAAATTTTTATCACTTACTGTATTTCCCCAAGGATTATACGACTTCATCCATAATACGCACCTCTAAAATTGTGAGGAAATAATGTGAAAATGCTTCTACTCGCGCATAACACGCATCCCTTGTTTGGCAATCAAACCCTATAGATTGGACGTCTTCAATTTAATAACGATCAGCATCTCCTACTTTTATTCAAGCTGTAAGTTATTTATTAAAATTTCCGGTCATCAGGATTCTGAAAGGAAACGTAAATACCTATATTTTAGCTACTTTTTATATTTCGATAGTCTCGACCAATCAGAGCGTATCATGTAGAAACAACATGGCGGCGCTCATAGTTCGTCGCATAGTCGTATTTTTTTCCACAAAAAATTGTTTTAAACATAGGATAATATTATTCTAATTTAATTTTATGATAATTCGTATATTTTTTTTAATTGTAAGTATTGTTAAGCACATATGGTTGCATTTGACAAACTTATGGAGCCGCAGTTGTCGAATGTTAGTGTCAAATTGTCGTATGTTTGTGGTGAGTAGTCATTTCGCAACTGAAATCGACCGCTTGCAATTTTTTTAAAATTTCTTTTGTACCTGTGCATAATATGCCCCCTATTTTTGCTTTTTTTTAATAAAAAAAATGCTTATTATACATTGGGAATTACTGTAAATATTATATTTGAGTATACACTCCGTTAATTTATTAAGCTGACCAGAATTTGGTAGACATTTAAAATGGTATTAATGTTATATGCACAATAATATATTGCTACTATATTAGTAATAAAATTTGTTGATTATTGGTTACTTTTGATTTTGGCGGCCTAGAGAATTTGAAGTTTTTGTTTATTATTTTCGTGGTGTAGGCTATTCGTATTGTAAACTAGTATTTTCTTGTAGTGTGAAGGTGGATTGGAATGTTTTTTAGACGTTGTACAATAGAAATTGTATCCGAAAATATATATATATATATATATATATATATATATCGCAAAATACAAATTTCCCCAGACTGCAGCTCTCTTGATTATTATGTGTCGGATAATTTAGAGGACAATTTATCCATAGTACCCTGTATACTGAATATAAAATTTGATGAAGAAGGACATATTCCACGACATGACGTCTATCGTATCGTTCATATCATTATCAAAATTGTTTTTACTTATTCATTTAAAAAAATCTAAAGCTTCAGAAATGAGTTCTATATTTATTACAGATGAAAGAATCTGTCAGATGCCATGAAGAATAAATTTTAATAAATTTTATCTTTTTTTATGATTAAGGAAGACAGTCACTGATTGTATAATATTTTTGCGCTGATGAAATCAGATGCGTGCATTTAGCGTCTTTATTCAACAGCTGAGAAGAAAGTCGCAGATCGGAGCTGAAATTTATTTTCAAAATTAATTGAAACATTTAAGGATTAAACGAGGATTTGTGTTTATTCAGAGTGTATTACTTCCACAGAGAGAGCTCCCCAACCCTAACCAACAACATTCCTCGGAAGAGCAAGCCACATTTCTTTGTCTATTCCTTGTTTCATTGAAAAAGAACACAGGCGTGTTCGAAAATTCCGATATTGAAATCATTCTCTCCGTGATCTATCAGAAAATTTACATGAAATAATTATCACTTTTAATGACATCATTGGTATCACTTTGCTGGGTTTTATTCCTGAAAATTTCACTTTTGCCAACAGTCCAGAAAAGGAGAGAATATTTTTTTCAATCAAGCAAAATTCACCATTACTCTTTTTTTTTCTTTTTCGAAACGCGAGATGCTAGTAGGGTTCAGTTTCGTTACGGTGAACAATCAATGCGTTTTGTGTGGTGCTCTTACAATATGGCACCATTCTTGGTAGATTTTCTGTTTTTAACGCTGTGGAATAGTCAAGGACAAAAGTGATGGAGAGAAAGCGAAAAAGAATGCAAATGAATTTGGCTTGACTGAAAAAATATTCTTTCGAAAATATTCTTTCAAAAATATTCTTTCGAAAATATTCTTTCAAAAATATTCTTTCGAAAATATTCTTTCGAAAATATTCTTTCGAAAATATTCTTTCAAAAATATTCCTTCAAAAATTTTGAAAATGCCAGCGTCTCGCGTTTCGTGCGCATGTGCAGACGTAGCAACGTTATCAAAGTCCATTCCGATGAAACCCTAACGGATGAAACGAGTCTCAATTTTTTTTTTCCAATTTTTGATACTATTTTTATAGTCGATTTCTCTTTTTTTCCCTTTTGTCTACCTCGAGTGGATCTTCGGCCATGTACAAGGAAACATCATTATTTAAAAGAAATTAGTAGTGAAAAAAATCTTCAGATATAAAATTGCTACTTAAATTTGTAAACATCTGTCAGATTTAATGAATTATCATTAATATATGCTTTTTCTGTCGGGCCTGTTTTCTCATCTTGGTTAATATAACTTTTGCGGCCCTTGTACTCTGCAGCCTTCTTCCGTTGTCTGTCGTCACAACTGACTCAGTTAACATCACTGCTATAAAAAAAAGTTCTAGGATATCTCTATCTATAAAAGGCAGGATGTGTGTGTGTGTGTGTGTGTGTGTGTGTGTGTGTGTAACGAATGCACGGCCCCAATTTTCGACGGATTTGCACCAAAATTTACATGCGCATGCTCCAAGTTAGTGGAAAGGCCAAGACCGACTTTGCATTTCCCAACTCCCATCAGTAGTGGAAATAATCGATTTTTTCATGCTTCTACGGCAGTTTTCATGTAGTTTGCAGCAATTTTGTACTGGCCAGAGTGAGAGCCTATAGCTGGCTGCCACGAATAGGCAGGAAGATTCTATTGGCCAGAGTGAGAGCCAACAGCTGACTGACACGAATGTTAACTAGCATGCTAGCATGCAAAAATAATCGATAGCTGCATTTGTCACAAGTGGGAAAAATTTAAATCTGCATGGCACTTTACTCCAATTGGCTCATTCACTTGCTTAAACTCAACGTTGATTCTGATTCCGCAGAATTGGGTTGGGTGTGAAAAAGTATTTGTTGTTAACATTCTTTTTTCATTCGGTTTTTCCAGTTACGAGTCCTTTTTTTAAATTTGATCGTTTTGTGTTCATTTTGTTTAGTTCTTTTTTCGTAACAGATTTAATGTTTAGTATAGAGCTTAGAAAAAATTCGCAGTGTGAGATAGGCAAGAAGTAAGGCATGTAGCAACATCAGCGCGGCAAAGGGCACTCCTTTAAAGGCAAGCAAGGGCAAAAATATTTTAAGTCAAGTGATAACGATTGCTGTATGAGTCGTCCGATTTTTGAATCAAGCACGGGCAACGCCGGGTCATGCTGCTAGTTTACTATAAATGGTCCCAGGCCATATTAAAGTAAAAAAAAAATACAAAAAAACAACGTCACAATGTAGAAAAGTAACTAACAATAGCGTCCCTCGGGTTAATAATGCTATTAAGGTTTCGATACAGTTTCGCTCTACGATTGTGCGCGTAAAGACCAAACGTAATCAGTTGTATCGTCGTGGATCAAATGAAATCACATCATGAATCAAATTATATCATTACTGTTACAATGAAGCTCAACGTATTGTAATGTTTTCGAAATGGCTACGTTCCAGTTTAATCATAATTCCCATGACGAGCCTAGTATATATTGGGGTTACCCTAGATCAAATTTATCTTCCGTTCGTTATTGATATTAAATTCTGTTCAGTTCATACTTTTCTTTCCTTGTGTGTATCAGATACAACAGTATATCACGCTAATACGTAAATGACAAAATCGTGAAAGATATTGTATAATTATGTACTGATCCTGTAACTTTTAAAATTATTTCAACCCCCAAATAAAGACTATGTGTGAAAATCTCTAAAAAAAAGAAATACATTATTAAGAAGATCCACTAATGAATGACCATGAATTAAGAAAACAGAAGGGGACAATTGACATTGCATTTAAAGTGGCTGAAACCGAGATGCTATGCTAGGAACTATATTATTGCAGATTCTTTTCGATTTTATCAAGAATCTGGACCTACACAGCAGAAACACCAAACCAGATGTGTCAGCAATATTCACTGTATGAACTAATGGTCAATTTATTTATTTATTTATTTTAAGCATTTCACCCCAAGCAAGATAGGGGTGCACACAGGGGTTTACAGAGGGTGAAAATGAGTACATGGGGGAAAGGATAAAAAGAAAAACGGGGATCAATTCATCAGAAGATGACAATCGACGTTGCATTTAACTGTTCGAAGATTGTAGTCATCAGCGAAGCAAGTAATAGGAAGGGAGTTGCACTGTCGGGAAGTGCGAGATAAGAAGCCGTTGGAGTAGAAGAGGTGGTTAAATTTAACTCTTTCGACAGTAAAAGGGTGGGGCTAGTAGCACGCTTAAATTCATTTAGTCGAGGCACCAGGGGAAATAGCTCGTCACAGCAGTAGTCATGAAAATATTTGTCGAAAAGACAAAGGAAAACTAAGTCATGTCGGTGTGGAAATGAATGGAGTCGAGATGCCAAGTCAGGACCGACTATATTGCAGATCCTTCTTTGGACTTTTTCAAGAACCTCGAGATGAACAGCAGGAGCACCAGACCATATAAGGCATCAGTATTCAACCCGTGGACGAACAGTAGATTTGTAGATATAATCTATAATTTTTTAGATGTAAACTATCATTTGTAGAAATAAAGTTATAATTTTTTTCATCATTCCACTCCAAGCAAAGCAATAAAGTCACTAAGACGCAAAACTTTAATGAGTGTTAGAGAATGTATGAGAAAATATACCCTTCAGAAGAGAGGAAAATAAAAGTACAAGTAGACAGCAGATAACGATTGACGTTGCATTTAAATTTTTGATGATCGAAGTTGACTGGGAAGCAAGAAGCCGGCAGAGAGTTCCACAAACGTCACTGTGATTGAAGAAACTGTTAGCATAGAACTTATAATTGCATCTAGACATTCCAACTGTAAGACGATGAGACCTTGCCGCCAATCTAGTACTGCGCTCTAAATTCATAAAGTCTAGAATACCATAGGTAGGATATCATACTGTGTGCGATGGATAAATTGTCGTCTAAATGACGCAAAAGTGAAAATATCACTGACATCTCATTTTAACAGATATATTTTCCAAAATTACGCAAAGATATCTTGAAACCCGAATGAGTAGATTTATTCAATAAAATCGCCATTAGCTTCCAGACGACTTCGGAATCTCCTGCAAATCTTCTGCACGCTTTTTCTTGTTTAAGCCGGTGAATGCTGACGTAATTTTTGCCTTCAGTTCATTTTTGGCTTTAAAAGGAGTTTTGTTGGTCTCTGGCTCAACTGCGTCCTGCACATAATAATCAAGGGTTTAAAGATTGGGGAGTTTAGGTGGCCGGCTGTTAGGGGTGATGTGGTCGCAGAAATTGTTTGACAGCCATGACTGGGTTCTCCGACTTGTGTGATAAGGTGAGGAGTTCATAGTCTCTTCCAGCAGTGACCCTCTTGATCCAAGGCAGCCGTACCTCTTCAAGGCACTTGATGGAGGCCTCCGTGTTGAGTTTAAGGCCCTCACCAACAAATCTGGGAGTTCTTTCTTATTTTCGTAATTATTCGTTGATTTAATCGTTGATTGTCTTCGTAATTACCATTAGAATCATCCTACTGTTTCAGAATTCTGTGAACTCTTCTCAGATTGACTCAAAAACACTCTGAAATGTTCGTATTAGAGCTTCCAGCGCGAATGCCAAGCAAAACAGTATACCGTTTCCAAATTTCTAGTGGAATGAATTGTGCCATAGTGTTCTTTTTCTTACAGACGGTGTACAAATGATCCTACTATAGTGTGCAGTCGACAAAATCAAAAAACAACAACAAAGCGCATGCGCGAAATTAAAAATATAATAAGGTGACAGTTTATCCATAGCACCCTGTATATATAAATGTATGTATATATATATGTATGCATGTAAGTAAGTAAGTAAGAATCTATCTATCTATCTATCTATCTATCTATCTATCTATCTATCTATCTATCTATCTATCTATCTATTCCGTCTTTTATTTCGTTCGGTATCTATCTATTCCTCTATTACAGGCTATTCATATCTATCTATCTATCTATCTATCTATCTATCTATCTATCTATCTATCTATCTCAGTCCGTTTTCATCTATCTATCTATCTATCTATCTATCTATCTATCTATCTATCTATCTATCTCAGTCCGTTTTCATCTATCTATCTATCTATCTATCTATCTCAGTCCGTTTTCATCTATCTATCTATCTATCTATCTATCTATCTATCTATCTATCTATCTATCTATCTAATAAGATAAAAACACGGAAGAGATTATATGGAAGAAGCATTAAAGATGTTAACTGATATGAATGTGATGGTAAAAAAAGAAGTAAAAGCAATACATCATTAATCTTGAAATAAACAGTAAATCTTAATCAGGCGGCCAACGAAGAATATCAAAGAATGACAAGTTAATTAAATCCGAATAATTTTCAATAAACCCTTGACTTCTATATATATATATATATATATATATATATATATATATATATATATAGAGAGAGAGGCTTGGAGACAGTGTATATATATATATATATATATATGTATTCCCTCTCCAAGCCTCTTTCTCTATATATATTTCTCAGCCTCTCTTTCTTCCTCCCTCATTTTCTCTCTCCTTCTTTCTCTTTTACTCTTTTATTGTTTTCTCTCTCTCTCTTATAGTTTCAATCTCTTTGTCCCTCTCTCTCTCTTATTTTCTGCTATTCTTGTTTGCCGTTGCTTTCAGCTTCGCTTTTGCATACTACTTTCTAAGAGTCTCCACCAACCTTCGTTCTTTCTTTCTTTCTTTCTTTTTTCTTTCTTTTTTTCTTTCTTTCTTTCTTGCTTTCTTTCTTTTTCCTTTCTTTCATTCTTTGTTTCTTTCTTATTTTGTTCGTTCGTTCTATCTTTCTTCCTTTCTTTCTTTCTTTTTTGCTTCTTTCTTCCTTTCTGTCTTTTTTTTCTTTCTTTCTTACTTTCGTTCTATCTTTCCTTCTTTCTTTCGTTCTTTATTTATTTATTTATTTTTCTTTCTTTGTTTCTTTCTTTTTCCTTTCTTTCATTCTTTCTTTCATTCTTTCGTTCGTTCGTTCTATCTTTCTTTCTTTCTTGCTTTCTTTCTTTCTTTCGTTCGTCCTTTCTTTCTTTCTTTTTTCTTTCATCTTCTTTCTTTTCGTTTCGTTCTTTCTTTCTTTCGTTGCTACTTTCTTTCTTTCTTCATATCTTCTCTGTCTCTCATTCTATGCCTTCCTTTCTACTTCTATCTCATTCTCATTATTCATCCAAATTTCCTTTTTTTTTTCGTTATTCTCTTAGTCTTTCATTCTCTTTTTCTCTTTCAGCTTCTTCTTTCATCTCTCTTTCGCTCACTATATTTCTCTCTTTCTATCTTCCTTTCTTGACCTCTCCCTTGATATCTTTTTCAATTCCCATCTTTTTCTCCCTATTGTTTTTAGTCTTTTCAAATCTCTTTCTATCTCTTTAAATTCGCATTTTATTCTTCATTTTTGCATCTTTCTCTCTTTTTCAATCATTTCAGCCTCCTTCTCTCTATTTTCTCATTATTCCTCCCTCTATGTTTCTTATACTTTATTCTCTCTGTTTCTCCCACTTTATGCTCCCACCCCTTCCTCTCTTTCAACCTATTCATTTATTCTTTTTCTTTCTTCTTCTTCTATTTGTCTGTCTTTTTCTCGTTTTTCATTTATTTTTACTCTATCTCTTTCTCTCTCTCTCTCTCTCTCTCTCTCTCTCTCTGGCTGCTTCTCATTTTCTTCTCTATCTTCTGTAAATTTCTCTACTCCTTCTCCTTCTCGCTTCCTTCAAACGACTCCTATTCTCTCTGCCTCTCTTTTTTTTAATCTGTTTCTTTCAACCTCACATTTTAAAAATCTCCTTTTGCTATTCCTTCTTTCTTTCTTTTCTTTCTTTCTTTTTCTCTCTCTTCCTTTCCTCCTCACCCGTTAACACATCATTTTCAATAAACCCTTGGCTTTTTATATATATATATATATATATATATATATATATATATGTGTGTGTGTGTGTGTGTGTGTTTTTTTTGTGTGTGTGTGTATATATATATAGAGAGAGCCTTGGAGAGTATATATATATATATATATATATATATATATATATATATATATATATATATATATATGTATTCCTCCCTCCAAGCCTCTTTTTCTCTATATATATTTCTCTGCCTCTTTCTTCCTCCATCATTTCTCTCTCATTCTTTCTTTTACTCTTTTACTGTTTTCTCTCTCTCATAGTTTCAATGTCTTTGTCACTCTCTCTCCCTTATTTTCTGCTATTCTTGTTTGCCGTTGCTTTCAGCTTCTCTTTTCCATACTACTTTCTAACAGTCTCCTCCAACCTTCGTTCTTTCTTTCTTTCTTTCTTTCTTTCTTTCTTTCTTTCTTTCTTTCTTTCTTTCGTTCGTTCGTTCTTACTTTCTTTCTTTTTCCTTTATTCCTTTCTTTCTTTCTTTCTTTCTTTCTTTCTTTCTTTTTCTCTCTCTTCCTTTCCTCCTCACCCGTTCACTCTCTCTCTTTCTTTCTTAGATCCCATTCTCACATCTAGCCTCACTTTTTTCTTTCTGTCTTTTCCTCTCGCGTGATTTCTAATACAATCTGAAACGAAACAGGTTTCTTCATTTTTATCGCCTTGGAATCGGTAAATATAACCTTCGACTCTCCTTCCAATTTTTCCATTATCTACTGTCAAGAAATGAATCATTCTAAAATGGCAAATATTTATTAATTAATATCAACACCTGGATCCCATGTCCTACACAGACACACAAATGATTTCAATCTTCAGTAAGAACGGAGTGCCTCAAGGGCAGCACCGTTGACACGAGCAACTGAATATTAATTGCTATCATTCAAATATGAAAGATATACAAATGACACTATACTGTCAAAACGCATATGAAAGAAAAAAACACCAGCTGTCGAAATTGGATATAGTGAAAAAAAAGATGAAGAAAACCCGAGAAAGAATTGTATAGAGTAGAATCTGAAAATCGTAGAACTTGAATGGATTAAAAAACAAACCATTCCTCCATTCTTAGAATACTGATGCCACATATGGTCCGGTGATATATATATATATATATCTAGAGATGCTTGAGAAAGTTCAAAGAATATTCAGCAATATCATTGGTTTTGATCTTGGGTTTCGGCTTCATCACTTTTCCACGGCCGTAAGGTTGCTTTCCTGGTCTTTTTCTATAAATACTTTCATGGCGATTATTGGTTTGGTTTATTTTGTTTTTCGGCTTATCAACCTCAATGGGTTATTTAATGCCGACAACATTTTTAGGATATATTCGTATGAATAAAATATGTATTCTTTGGTTTAGATTGGTTTGGTTTATTTTGTTTTTCGGCTTATCAACCTCAATGGGTTATTTAATGCCGACAACATTTTTAGGATAGATTCGTATGAATAGAATATGTATTCTTTGGTTTAGATTGGTTTGGTTTATTTTGTTTTTCGGCTTATCAACCTCAATGGGTTATTTAATGCCGACAACATTTTTAGGATAGATTCGTATGAATAGAGTGTATTCTTTGGTTTAGATTGGTTTGGTTTATTTTGTTTCATGGCATATCAACCTCAATGGGTTATTTAATGCCGACATTTTTAGGATAGATTCGTATGAATAGAATATGTATTCTTTGCTTTAGATTGGTTTGGTTTATTTTGTTTTACGGCATATCAACCTCAATGGGTTATTTAATCCCGACAACATTTTTAGGATAGATTCGTATGAATAGAATATGTATTCTTTGGTTTAGATTGGTTTGGTTTATTTTGTTTTACGGCATATCAACCTCAATGGGTTATTTAATGCCGACAACATTTTTAGGATAGATTCGTATGAATAGAATATGTATTCTTTGGTTTAGATTGGTTTGGTTTAGTTTGCTTTACGGTATATCAACCTCAATGGGTTATTTATTGCCGACATTTTTATTGCTGGCATTTTTTTTCAAAAACATGTATTGCGGATAATATGTTTTTATTTTCAAAATTGTGTTGCTGACAATAATTTACTGCTGTTAATAATTATTCTTCAAAAAATTATTCCTGACAATAATCTTTACAAAGTATTTTGGTATTGAAAACCTATTTTTACAATTTCATAGTGTTTTGACCCCAATTTGGGGGTTAACTATTTACCCATAGCTGGGACCCTAACAGGGGCTACCACCCCGGATCAGCATGGACCTGGGAACAACAGTAATTAAGAGGTGGTTTCACGCTCTTCAAAGCCTCAGGATCTTGCTGCCGGATGTAGTTTATCGTTATACCCAGGATGGATGACGACTATTCTAATAAGCTTTGGTGTTTTTGTAGTGGGAGTGCTCCATTTTTCAAGAACGATTGATATTTGTCATTCCAAATATTGGGATGTTTTTATTTTGAAAACCGCGAGCCTTAGCTCAACTTTAAGATTTAAGTTTCCTTTACATTGTGCGGACTGTTGTCTTCATCTTTACTGTCGCATTCACAACGTTTCGGCCGTTGTACGCATCGGCCTTCTTCAGGGTCTGTCTATATTTCTGGGATGAGGTATTGTAATTATTACACGCTTTACATTGTTCGGACTGTTGTCCTCCTCTTCGTTACCATATTCACGACGTTTCGGCCGTTGTACGCATCGGCCTTCTTCAGGATCTGTCTATATTTCTGGGATGAGTTATTTTAATTATTTACACTATTTATATTGTTCGGCTTTTTTTCCTCATCTTCGTTGCCATATTCACGACATTTCGGCCGTTCTATGCACCGGCCTTCTTTAGGATCCGTCTATATTTCTGAGATGAGGTATGGTAATTATTTACACTATTTACATCGTTCGGACTGTTGTCCTCATCCTCGTTCCTGTATTTCTGCAGTTTGGGCCGTTGTACACACTGGGCAACGACCGTGAATGCGCCAGTTAAGATGAGCGACCACGCAGCTGGGATTTGTGTTTAGGATACGGGAAGAAGTCAGATGAAGCCAAGTCTGGTAAGTAACTGGTGTAGGGTAGCAATTCACAGCTACGGTTGGCTGATTCATTTACTGCAACCTGAGCCGTATCAACGGGCACATTATCCTGAAGCAAAAGCCCACCTGTCGTCAGCTTCCCTCTGCGTTTCGACTTCATTGCTTCCTTCGATTGTCTTAAATCTGATTCATGGTACTGGCCATTAATAGACTGACCATTTTCCATGTAGTCTATCATGATTAGGCCTTCAGAATCCCAAAACCTCTTAAATTTCTTTGCGGGTGGCAAACTGTTTTGATTCAAGGTCGGAGAACATGTTTCATTTTCAGTCACTAATCTGCAGTAGAAATTTCCATGGTCATCCTGGAAGCGAGTCAGAACTGTCCTGGTTATGTCAACCCTTGTTAGCTTCTGATCTGGAGTCAGAATTCTTGGGACCCATCTTGCAGAAAACAGTATGAACCGAACCAGAACTAATGCCTATGGACTTATTTACTGGGACGTAGGACGTTTCTCATCCAAAACCATACTGTAAATAGCATCCACTTGTTCATCACATTTGTGGACAGCCTGATCGAGTGTTATCTTCTGTGCGAAAGGAGCTGCGAACAGCCTCGGTAGAACAGTTTAGATCACTGTTCCCGCAAAGTTTACTTTCCTACTACTTTATAGTAAGTGGAAGAGTCCACAATAGCCTCATTAAAGGGAAGACACCACAACAGTAGCAAACCATCGAACAAAAACCCTGGTCAAAGTTTCACTGAAAGACTAATTAGCAAAGAATTGATCATATTTACAATAAAAGATCGAAGACCGCCGCCCATTTCCTCCCAGTTGCATAGGAATGAGTGTCCCTACGTCTCTTTTGCAGTTTAATTTATGACTGCTAAGTCCTCTTTTTTGTCCATTTTTAAATTTGTCGTACAGCTCTCACCGTTTTTTTCTGCACAGAAATTGAAACGGAAATCTGTAGTGTGCTGCCACAACAAAAAAGTTCGTAGTCAGTCTATATTTCTGAGATGAGGTATTATGTACAGTATTTACATTAGTCTGACTATTGTCCTCCTATTTGTCGCCATATTTGTCACAACGTTTCGGCCGTTGTACGCTCCGACCTTCTTCAGGTTGTTGGAATTTCGAACTGAACCCTTTATTGTCCTCAAGGACACATGGCACAGTGGATAAAGACGTTGGTAGGATCCAGTGACAGACCCAAAGAGTGTGAGTTCAATACCCGGTTAAGGCAGTGGAGACATTTCAGAGGGAAATTAGCAGGTGATAACTGATAACTGACATCAATCAAACATGGCACGTGGAACTAGAACAGTCTACCCCATTGATCGAAATAAAGGGTTCAGTTCGAAATTCCAACCACCTGAAGAAGGCCGGAGCGTACAACGGCCGAAACTTTGTGACAAATATGGCGACAAAGATATGGACAATAGTCCGACTAATGTAAATACTGTAAAAAAATGTTCGTCTATGTCCTTTCTTTCCGGGTGAGGCTTAGAACTTTTCAAACGAATTTTGTGTTTACCTATACAAAAAATTTAAAAAAGAAAACACACATAGATGTAGACATGTGTAAATTCTTGATAAGTATAAATAAAATAAAATTATGAATAAAATTATAAACAGAATTCAATTAGAGAACAGTACGCAAGATATTCTACAACGTGTTTGGCAGGAGTTGGACTACGGACTTCACGTGTGTTCTGTCACAGGTGGCTCGCATGTTGAACATTTTAAAAGGTTCATGAAATCGGTTATAAAATCGTCATCCCTTTGAATTATCTTGTACGAATTTCGAGAAACAAATCTTTTATTGTTCACTGTGAAGCCTATTTAATTTCGTTTGCCTGGCACATATGTAGTTACTAAGACATTTACATTTTAAATGATATTTTGGGGACATCCTATATATATATATATATATATGTATATATATATATATATATATTATAATTATTTTTCAGAAAATATCATTCCTTCGCTACATAAGAGTTCTCAAGTTTCAAAAACAAGAGCCAAAATCTTCAATATAATAATTAAAATTAAATTGAATTAAATTATCAAGTCCTGTTTCATCCTTAAGGGAAAATTTAGGAATAACCAATCTTGAAATTTACATCAATTATAGAAACAATAGTACTAACCAGAAGAAAAACAGGAAAAGAAAAATCATTTGGTATAAACCTCCGTTCAACCAAATGGTTCGTATTAAGCTAGGACACAAGTTCCTAGCTTTAATTGAAAAACACTTTCCTACTAATAGCAGACTTAGCAAGATCTTTAATAAAAACACCTTAAAATTAAGTCACAAGTTGCATTGAAAATCTAGAAAGAATCATAAAAAAAACATAATAATAAAATCCTTGAAAAATACGCATGCCAAAAGAGTATTAATAAAAATCCTAAAATAATGAAAAATTATGTGATTGTAGAAACCCTGAAGAGTGTCTGTTGGAAAATAAATGCCGCACAAAATCCGTGGTATATCAATGCACTATCTCATCCATTGAGAGTCCTAACACTGAAAGGATATACATTGGTTCCACGAAAAATGAACTTAAAATTAGATGGAGACAACACAAAATCTCCTTCAATAATATTAT